GTGATTTTACTGCACATGTTGTTGTTCATCTCTAATCAAAACACGCAGAGAACTAACATATGGAGGAAAAAGAAATCATAAGCATCTATAGCTTCCTTAGTCTCATCTAAGCCTTATCAAAGCTTTATTTAACAGACATTCAAGTTAAATCTAGGGGTATATCAGGAATACAGTGAAACGAAAGAAGTGCACGGATTGAAAAGGTATGACAAAAGATTAATCTCAGAAATAACCAGTCAACCTGGGGAAAAAGCAGTCTGAGTCATACATCCTTAATAAGAATCTGGGCAAACAGCAATCCTAGAATGGCCTACAGCATACAGCAGACGCTACAATGCAGGGAGAATAAAAAACTATTTACTGTGTACAGTGTGCCAAACCAAATAATTCCCTAGTATCTGACTCAGCACTAATGGTGAGAGTGTTTACTTTGTACTGGGCAGCCCCAAATTCTCATGAGCCAAATACTGATGGATGAAGAACTGAATATAAATAAGGGGGGGGGGGGGGGGGAAGGGCAGGGGAGGAGAAAAGAAAATAATTAAATTGGAATAACATGAGTTAAAAAAAAATGTATGTGGTAAATTGACTGTCTTTTATCCTGAGTGCAATGGGTTTGTACGGCAAGGTTCTGGTAGCAGGGGGTGTACAGGGGTGGCTTCTGTGAGAAGCTGCTAGAAGCTTCCCCTGTGTCCAACAGAGCCAATGCCAGCTGGCTCCAAGACAGACCCACTGCTGGCCAAGGCCAAGCCCATCAGTGACAGTGGTGGCATCTCTGGGATGATGTATGTAAGAAGTGGAAAAGTCACTGCACAGGAGCAATTGCAGCCAGAGGGGAGTGAGAATATGTGAAGATCAGCTCTGCAGACACCAAAGTCAGTGCAGAAGGAGGGGAGAAGTTGCTCCAGGTACCAGAGCAGAGATTCCCCTGCAGCCCATGATGAGGCCTATGGTGAGGCAGGCTGCACGCCTGCAGCCCATGGTAGTCCATGGAGAGCAAATATCCATGTACAGCTCATGGAGGGCCCCACACCAGCGCAGGTGGAGATGCCCAAAGGAGGTTGTGACCCTGTGGGAAGCCTGCACTGGAGCAAGCTCCTGGCAGGATCTGTGGCCCCATGGAGAAAGGAGCCTGCACTGGAGCAGGTTTGCTGCAGGACCGATGACGCTGCCAGGGACCCACACTGGAGCTGTCTGCTCCTGAAGGACTGCACCCCATGAAGGGTCCCATTGGAGCAGTTCATGGAGAACTGCAGCCTGTGGGAAGGGCTCATGCTGGAAAGGTTCATGAAGGTCTGCTGTGGGAGGGACCCCACAGTGGAGCAGGAGAAGAGTGTGAGGAGGCCTCTCTTGGGAAGGAAGTAGCAGCAGAGACAACGTGTGATGAACTGACCACAACCTCCATTCCTTTTCCCCCTGCACCACTGGGAAGGAGGAGGGAGAGAAACCAGGAGTGAAATTGAACCTGGGAGGAAGGAAGGGGCAAAGAGAAGGTGGTTTACAATTTAGTTTTTATTTCTCATTATCCTGCTCTGATTTGACTGGTAATAAATCAAACTGACTTTTTCCAAAGTCAGGTCCATGTTGCCCATGACAGTAACTGGTGAGTGATCTCTCCCTATCCTCGTCTTGACCCATGAGCCTTTTGTTGTATTTCCTCTCCCCTGTCCAGCTGAGGAGGGGAGCTATAGAGCAGCTTTGGTGGACACATGGTGTCCAGCCAGGGTCAACATGCCACATCAAGGTAATTAATCTGCACTGTAGATTAACTGTGCCAAAAATGCAAAGGAAATTTGCATCACAAAGTGTGTAAAATTTCAGGCACAAATTGCATCCATGTGCTACTACTCATACTAGAGACTGCTTGGATCCAGAACTGTTGTACACTGAGACATTATTTCTACATGCACGAGTTGGAAATGAGTCAGGTAAAGTAAAGAATGATGTTTCACAGAAAGGATAAAGTCATTAGGAAAATTATACATAAATTATCATTAGGAAATAGTCAGACATGATAGATTTTTGCAGGAAATTGGGATGAATGGGGCAAAAGTTACTTGCCAGAAGTGATTGAGTAAAGTATGAGGAACACCAGTGCATCTACATGAAGTTTTTGCTGGTGACACTGTACCACTAATGACACCCAGCTAAGGCTGACTCCTGCTTTTTGAGCACTATTCCCAAAGCCCGGCGGTAGGAAAAATACCTTTTTTTGCATTGGAATAGGTGGCTGAACAGTGTGCAAGGATAAAATTCAGCTACGTATTTAGTATTTGAGTGTGTCTTGTAGATACAAATTATCTAGTATCTAGATAGATAAAAGTACAGGATAGCATGGTCTTGAGAGTGCAGTTGCACAGACTTTATTTTACTGCTGGTTTTTGGTTTGTTTTTTTTATTCTACTGTGAAAAGTAATTTAGAGTGCTTCCTGACCTTTTCTTTCTGTATAAATGTATAAAATTGTGCAGCATTAGTTAGTAACAATTTTGTCACAAAGTACAGGGTCATTATTAAAAGGGAACGGCAGCTGCTGGTTTTGAGATGCTCTTTAATGGCTCTGGCATCCTGAGAGCTACACGGACTCTGATCCAAAATTTGCCTGAAGATGTTCTTTCTCCTTTCATTCTTCACTGTTTTACACTGTAAATGGCGCTGCGAAAAAAAAAAAAAAGGAGGAAAAAAGAAAGAAAAATATTTTGTGAGTAAACGAACTGCAGTGTGAGCTCTATGATAATATACACCTGACTTCGATAGCTTGGGGACATTTTTTATTTATTGTCACTATAAATGCCATTTCAGTGAATTAATTACACCATTGTTAGGCATTCCTAGTGAAGCATATTTATGCATAGTTGAAAATGTGCCTTAGATAACTCTGTGGTTGTATAGGATGGTTTACAGCTGCAGTGAGCTTCTGCAGCTGGAATTTTCTTACACTTGAATGATTCCTTCCATTGAAACAGCATATGTCTTAATATCACCAGACTATTCAAGAGTATAGAAGGCAGTAAATTTTTTAGTTCTGCATACAACATTCCCTATTCAAATAATGTTTTAGAATTGTGTTGTTTGAAGTGAACTGAAAAAGAAAGGAAAACCTAGCTCAAGATCTCTTTCAAGAATAACTTTTGCAGCCTTAGCTATTGCTGTTCAAAGTCTTTTTATCCAATAACCTATTAGAAACACACAAAACATAAAAGTGGACATTAAATACATTTTTTCAGATTTATGGGTGTTTTGTAATATGCTCAAATAAAACCAGCAGTTGTTTTGAAAGCTGTTACATCAAAGATAGTAACTTGTGCAATCACCTTACATTTTCCTTGACCTGAATGCAATATTCCTATTTCAACCAATGTTATATGTTACTTTTCTCTGCAGTTTCAAATTCTATGTAACTATAGTAGAAAAAGATAATGCATCTGTTGGTACCATCTTTTCCTACAGCAGCTTGTTCTTTATGTCAAATGTAAGCACTGGGGGAGGGGGGAGGAAATTAAAATGTAGCGTTTATGTGATAACACAAGTTGCAATAAGTTAAAAACTGACAACATAAAAGAAAAGCTTCTAAACAGTTCTGATGTCTTAGGTTATTTTGAAATGGTTTGGAAATACTGATGAAATTTTATGTATACACACATCTACATGAAGCAGCAGGAAAAATTATGTTACTTGTGTAGGATTTATTAAAATCCTTAAAATTCCACTTTTATGGAAATCATTAAATGATAGGTGTATTGCTGGAACATAGAGTTCTGCTGACTGAAAATGTACAGAAGAACTGCTTGTGAAGTACATAAGATTACTTCAGCTCTTAAAAATGACAGTAGGTTGTACTGTAGAGGCATTTACTCTGAACAGTCTCCTCTGTGTGATAAAGTTTGTAGTGTTTTGTCTCCACCTCATTCCTTAGGACATTCTACTTGACCAGTTAGTTGACGTTCTCTTCACTGCTTGTGAGGACTATTTGGGGCACTTAGGTCTTCTCACATATTATCGTATCCCCTATCATATAGGGAACTCAAGAAAATAACTAAGTACTTGCACGCATGCTTATACGTGACAAGGCACTGAAGAATCAGACAACTGTTGTGCACTACCTTTGAGATACCACAACTGTCAGGTCTTTTAGTTTCCTCAGCTATGCCCTTTTTTTCTTCCTGGAAACTTTTCTAGGAGAAATGTAAGAATTTTCTTTTACTCGTTGAGGACTTTATGCCTGTGTCAGTAGTTTTAGCTGAGTTGCAATGAATCCGTAAACCCTGAGTATGTGGAACTGCTGGTCTAAGCAGGTACGCAGCTCTGCAGGTAGAGCACATTTTGTAATGTGTTGTACAAACATTGCTGACCATGTGCAGAGCATCTGAAAAATGATGCACAGCAAGTCCAGAGCATGCGTGCAAGATATTTTCTCCTCCAGAAATACGGGTTAGGAATATAGCAGCTGTACAGCACTTACAAAAATACACCTAGATTAAGTCTGAAAAGAGCATTTAATTTGTAGCTGACGGTGTGAATTTGATCAGTCTAAATTTAAGCTAAAATTGTGAGACCTCAGTGAGACTTAAGCTCCCACTAGTAAATTAGCATTTCACACTGCCTGCTCTCTGCAGGTTCATCAAAAGGCAAATTTAAACAATTACAGTTTCTCAGTAACCAAATGGACTATGTTGTTTGTATTTATACTGAAATAGATGTGCAGAACCTGACAGAGGATATCACCCAGCACTCTGCAGTCTCTTCCCACTTACAAATAACTTTTAATAAATGCTTGTACTTTGAGAGCCAGGAAAATAATTTTCTATCACCTTCACTTTTTTTTTTTTTGTTTGCTTGTTTTGTTTTCCTTCTAGTTAGTACATAAAATACACTTCTACCATCTAAAATACAGCACATGCTTTAAAGAATGAAGAGTGTTATTGCCACCTGGTGGGAGCCCTGTGTATCATTTACCAACCACGGACAGAATTGTGAAGACGTTGAAACAGCTCAAATGACCAACACAAACTACATTTGGCATCATGAGAATAATCAGACGACTGCATTTGCTATGACAAAACAGCATTATCAGAGAGCTGCAGCCTGTCCCTACACTCCTTTTAATGTCAGGTAAAGTCACTGTTAAAATTAGTAAATTCCATGGCTTTTGACATTACTCAATAAGATTAGAGTATGGACAGGTATAAATAAAACCTGAACAAGAATAGTAAAATACATAATAGAAAAAAAAGTACGTAAAAGGTTTTGAGATTATAAGAGCCTAATGGACAAAGAACAGAGGTTTAAATATGTGATTCAAATTAACTGAACCCATTCTCTGGATTATTTTATGTAACCAACAAGGAATAATGTGAACATTGATGATAATAATTCTGAAATCCTCTATTTAATAATCTCTTAAAACTGCACTTCCCTTTCACATTTCTGTCAATGTTCAAATGATTCAAAACTTTGAAATCAGTGGCCATATTTTTTAGGCAGGAAATTATAAAATTTGGAGACAGTAATATTGACGTAAACATGATTTGGAAGTTTAATGACTAATATAATTCTAAGAAGGCTTCCCAACTAAAACACTGAAAGCCACAATATGACAGAATCTGATATATGTTTAGGACTAATTACATATATTTCCTGACAGAAATTAAATTTTCAATTTGACAGTTTTGCATGTTTCTAAAATCTTAATTAAATTCTGCACCATCTCTATTACAGAATCCTTTACATTAAACATGCTTGAAACTGAGAGGTAGCAATTCAGTTTTTCAGGCAGCAATTTATACATAATGTTTTGTGGATGGAGAACAACATGTCTGTGTTTGCTGCTGTGTAGCAGATGGAATCCTGGAAAGGATGGAATCACAGAATCAGAAGATCATTGAATAGTTTGGGTTGGAAAGGACCTTAAGATCATTTAGTTCCAAGCCCCTGCCATGGACAGGGACACCTCACACTAGTCCATGTCGTCCAAGGCTCTGTTCCATCTGGCCTTGAACACTGCCAGAGATGGAGTATTTACCACTTCTTTGGGCAATCTGTTCCAGTGCCTCACCACCCTCACAGTAAAGAACTTCTTCCTTATAACTTACATTAGTTATAAGGAAAAAAACTTACATGGAAACTGAACTTCTCCTGTTTCAGTTTTGAACCCATTACCCTTGTCCTATCACTACAGTCCCTGATGAAAAGTCCCTCTCCAGCATCCTTGCAGAACCCCTTCAGATACAGAAAAACACTGGTAGCACCCTGTGCAAATTAGTAATGCTTTGTATTTCAAGCAATGTGAATTTGCTTGTTTGACAAAGGAATGCTCACTTCTATTTGTCCAAAGCAAGCCAGAGATTATTTCCTCCTGAAATGTGTGAAGATGCTTATATCTGAATTGGGTCATTCCAGAGCTAAATTCCCTTTAACTGTCAAATTTCAGATTTAAGACTGCCAACCATCAGGAATATTCCTTGTTAACTTACTTTCTACAATGATCTGCTCCACTTTCTTTTCTCCTGCAATTTGGGAGAAACTGAACAGAAAAATCTTAGCTTTAGAACTTTTCATTTTTTTTCTTTCCTAATTCAGACTGTTCTGCAAAAGAGAAGAGAGGAATGGTCACTCCAACATACTTGAGCAAAGGCAGTATATGTAATACCTGCACTACCTTGGATTGCATGAAATTGTTTCATTCATTTATTCACACTAGAGCTCATTGTTAGCAAAAGATTATGCTCCACTTGCAAAGGAAAGAACATTGAAGGATCAACTTGATTTACAGGGTGAAATTTGTGGCATACTTTCCATTTTGAAAGGTTGATGCAAACTCATGTGTGTTATATCTGTTGTTTGAGGGTGTCCTGGGTTCAGCAGTAGCAGTCAGTTTTTCTCCTTCTTGGTAGCTGGTGCAGCGCTGTGTTTTGACTTTCAGCCTGGGAACAGTCCTGATAATACCGATGTTTTCAGTTGTTGCTAAGTAATGTTCACCCTGACCAAGGACTTTGTGAGGCTCATGCTCTGCCAGGGAGGAGGGGAAGCCGGGAGGAAACAGAGAAAGGACACCTGACCCAAGCTAGCCAAGAAGGTATTCCATACCACAGCACGTCATGCCCAGGGTGGGGGGTAACTGGGAGTTACCTGGAAGGATACGGGCTCCTGGGTCGGACTTGTTTTTTGGCGGGTGGTATTGTATTCTCTTCCCTTGTTATTTTCCCTTATCATTGTTGTCGTTGGTGGTAGCGGTGGTGATTTGTGTTGTACATTGGTTGCTGGATTGTTCTTGTCTCAACCCGTGGGAGTTGCACTCTTTCGATCCTCCTCCCCATCCCTCCGGGAGCAGGGAACGGGAGAGCCCCAGGGCAGGGGAGGCCTTGATTGCTTCCAGCCTGGCACCACTCACTGGGAGTGAGTGAACAAGCTGTCTGGCTAGGGTTTAAACCATGACAGAGGGGTACCATGGTACTTCGTCATGCAACCTCATTTACTTATGAACTATTCTATGAATCACAAACCATGAAGTTACTCCCACCAAGAAATTTTCAGGGTTTAAGTATGCCCAGTTCAATTTTAGACCAAATTTCTTCTCTGGCAACACCAAACTGATTCAAGATAAGAGTTCCAAACTTCACTGATACTTGTTGCTGGCTTTTCATGTATAAAATTTGAGTTAATATTCCTTCCCCCCAAGGAAAACTGCCCTGTTTTCTCTAGACTGTAGCAGAACAGAAGTACACCTTTAATTCAGGTGCAGCTTTGGGAGTTAAGAGAACTAAGTCCTATTTAGATTGTGGATTAGCATTTAAATCAGTAGCTGTCTCATAGCGAAGTTGTGAAAAGAACAAATTAAGAACATCCCAGGATGTGAAACAGAAGCACAGTCCCCTTTACCTGCTCCAGGGAATGCATCCAATCCAGGATTTACCTCCCAGTAACTGTCAGACCTTCCCAGCCTTATTTAATTATCACCTGCATGAGCATGGCTTATCTGTGCCCATTTTAGAAATCTTCTCTTCCACAGCGTAAGTCCATAATTAGAAAAGACAGTCCAAAACTGAACATCTCATGCCACATCATCTATATTGTAGGTATCCATGAAAAGGAAAATGTTGACCCTTTCCTCAGAGCTGAGAACTAATGGGAGAATGACAGTGTTGCTTTTTTGCATAAAGCAATGATGATTAATATTGCTTGTGTGCCATAATACAAACAGCATTTGGCATAAGGATAATGGAATAAAGAGGTTAAAAGAGCAGTGGACCGGGAAAGATGCTTACATTACCCTACATACTTTAGAGCATGAAAACAGGCACTTATGCAAAACCTAATCCAACCCTGAGGTGACACACGTGTATTTAATATGCATTATCTGGGAAGAAGAGTCTCCATTGCCATCTTCACAAAACTCAGTTCCTATTTTTACCTTCTTTTTATGCCCACTTTCTTGTGTTTTTTCTATTTCCTCCCACTCTTTCCTTTTAATTCTTCCTCCCATACATCCATCCCCAATGACACAAACATCTTAGTTACCAACATCATATTGTCAATTCTCCAGATTTTATGTCTACCTCCTCAGTACACTTAGTGCATTATGCTCTTTGTGACAGAAAAAATACCTGCTTCTTTACATTTACACACTGCCTTTAAAGGATAAAAATATCTGTTTTCAGCTTAGTCCTTAGCCTGAGCTAGTACCCAGTTGCTCATCAAGTATGCTGGAACTTTTATTGCACTAATTTTATGCTGATCTAATGCTTTCATCAATTAAATTATACTGCTAAAATGGGCGTAACAGAGTAAACAACAAGCCCAGTAATTTTGAAGTAATAGCTGTTCTCTTAATTGGTAAGGTGGGGCAAAAAATAAAAGATGATCTTTGAGACAGCCTTTAGTACAGGTTACTTATCATCACTCAGATACTGTCATTTCTGTAATGTACTTCCTTTCATAACTACTGAAAATGCACATGGCATTTCTCTATGAATTGTTCAACTCTACTTACTCTTACAAAAGCACTGCTGACAATATTTTTGCTAGGATTAACATATTCCAGAAACATCCACTGTAATTACGTCAAATCTGTTCCTGAGTGCACCGCGGACTAAAGAAATGGACTCTTACTCAGCGGTGTTGTGACAAACATACAGAGTTGAAGGCTATTTGTTGGAATGATTCATGCTTCATGCAGATGTATTTTCTTGGATGATCAGTGCTCTCTCTCTTCACTTTCACTGCAGATTGATTAAATAGTTTTTTCTCTGGACTTCTGAGAAACTACTTGAATGCCAGGAATGCTACAGATGTGATTTAACTTCAGTAATATGATGGGTAAATCACTTTGAATCAATTGGTTTAATATTTAAATTTTGTATTTAAAAGTTGCTTAGCATGAACTAGTATTTTGCTGTTACAAATTAAATTTTCTAAGAGACAGACTTTTCTTAAACATTTCCATACTGCATGCATGCCTAGATGCTGAAATACAAATTGAACTGGGAAATACAAACAGAATGGGAAAACATCAGTTTGTATCACATGCAGTTTAACAGAGGTGACATACGAGTTGCTTAGATCATTAGATGTCCGTTATCAAGAAAATTTCTAGAACTCATTGCTGATTGTATGGAAAAGCAATTAATTTCAACCTATGTCTCAGTACTGCACCCCAGATGTTCAGACAATCATTTCTACTACTTTTATCATCTCTTGAGTAAACAAGGTTTACAGAAATCAGCTTCAGCCAAAAAGTATCACAAAGTTATTTGTAAAAGGATTATTGATTCACTAATACAAAAAGAAACTGTCATAGCTGCAACCTTTTTTATTTTCTTCCTGTTCCAATAGGATTTTTTTTTAATCTGGGCCAACAGGAAACTCATGCAGTTCAACAAGAAAGCCTAAGGTCCTGTGCCTGGGGAGGAACAACCCCGGCCACCATTGGTGCTGCAGGCCACTTAGCTGGAAAGCAGCTTGGCAGGAAAAAATCTGAGGATCACAGTGAACACGAAGTTGAACGTGAGCCAGCAATGTGACCTTGTTGCAGAGATGGGTATTGGTATCCTTGAGCGGCATTTGAAGTGTCACCAGCAGGTGAAGGGCAGCGATAATTCTGCTCTGCTCAGCGCTGGTGCAGCCACACATGGAGTCTAGGGCCACTTACGGGCTTCCCAGTACAAGAGATATGGACAGACTGGATACAGCCCAGTGAAAAGCCATGTAGATAGAGCTGGAGCAGTGGGCTGGAACCTCTCTCATATGAGGAAAGACTGAGCGAGCTGTTGCTGTTTAGTCTGGAGAAGAGAAGACTCGGGGATCTTATCAATGTCTATATACCTGAAGGGAGGGTGCAAAGAGGAGGGTGCACCAGGCTCATTCCAACGGTGCCCAGCAACAGGACCAGAGGCAATGGGCACAAACTGGAACATGGGAGGCCCGGTCTAAAAGTCAGGTAAAGCTTTATTTACTGTGAGGGTAACAACTGGCACAAGTTGCCAAGTTGTGGAATCTCCATCCTCTGTGCTGCTCAAAAGCCGTAAGAACACTGTCCTGGGCAATCAGTGGTGGGCGGCCCTGCATGAGCAGGACTGTTGCAGCAGATGAATTCCAAAGGCCCCTTCCAATCTCAACCATCTTATTGATTCTATAAGCTATAACCAAAATTAAAAAAGGTGTTGCAACAAGTTATTACAGTAATTCCACATTTCTTCTCTGCAGCTCTAACCACTGGCCACTGTAATCATGCCAAATGGGAACTAATGATTTGTGATAAAATGTAGGCCAAAGCGAAATTATTGGAGTTGAAAATAGAAGCTGCCATAATATTTGAGTTTACTCTTAGTAATATGTACATATAATGAGTATATAAGGGGGGGTGTGACAATTTCATTTACTGCAACGATTTAGTTGGTCTTTTCTCAGGGAAGGACCTGATAAAGTTCAGCAACGGCACTTTGGTGAAAGAATAGCCGTAAGTGACCACAGAATGTATTTTACAAGTCCCACTGTCAAGCAGGTGTGCATGCCACACAGTCAGTGTGTCAGTTTTAACCCTGAACCAAGCATTTCTGGAATGGCTTTTGCCATGTGTCACTGTGCCTTCTGTTGGAAAGGAGTGGCACAAGCAGCAGGCGAGGCTTTATTTTACAGTTCCTTTTCAGTTACTTTTCCAGCTACCACCCTCATTTCCACCTGTTCCCTAACCAAGTCACATCTGTTAAGCACACCTACTAAATATTACATCAATTATATAGAACAGTATCTTGAAGCAAATGTGGATAGCAGAGGAGCAGATTGCAGCAGGAGTTTGTCATATTCAGTTAAGGCATCCTGTCAGTCTAAGGAAACGATTAAAACGGGTTACACAAGGTGGGCATCGTATGTTCCTCATAAAACCATGTTACACTCAGTCTGCAAATAACTGCGGGTTTACAAATTTTATTTCAATTTGAAGTAAACAAAAGCTTAACTTTATGCTCGTTGAAGCTTATTTTAAGTAAAAGGAAGCACTTTGTTATGACTTTGAAGGCAAAGCAATAGTAAGGATGCTGGGGACCAAATTTTTGTTTGGGGATTAAAAAAACCCAACATGCAGCAACACCACCAAGTAGCATCTAATACATTTTAAAATATTAATATTATTTATATCACTATATATAAAATAATATTAATAAAAATATTAATAATGCAGCTCCCCACGATCTGCTGTAAACTTGGAACTTGTGAAAAACCACCTAAATGGCTAAATTATTCACATGAATGACTGAAGTTTAAATTTAATATCCTATTTTGAGTTGGTGAGGGTTTTGCTTTGATTTTTCATTAGAACCTATTCACAGTACCATGCACAGGCCTCGAGATATTTATTTTTAATAGAGCTAAAAAAGTTAATTTATTAAGTTTACTACCAACACCATAGCAACACTTGCAGGTACCACTCTACCAGCCCAGAAACTTTCCATTTATGCAACAGAAGTACCGGTGTATATAGTAGTAATTTCCATGTCATTTAGGAATAACTAGCTACTTGTTAACCACCCTTTCTCCCCTCCCTCACTCCAACCCATGCCTGACTCCATGCTGGCCAACAAGAGGCACCCCAGCACACCCGGCCCAGGCCGGTCCTTCTGCTCCCCAAGTTAAAGGCCATACGTGAGGAGAAAGCCTTTACCCGCACCTCGGACAACTCAGGGCCGATGTCAGGGGGCACCCCCCGCTGCTCGGCTCCACCGCCTCCAGGCCGCTCCCACCTCACGGCCCACCAGAAGCCGCCTCACAGCGGCCGCCCAACGGGCCCTCCCACGCTGCCATGTTGGAGCTGCCCAAGCCCGCCCCAGCCGCCTCCGACACTTCCCTCCGGTGTCCCCACGGCTGGGAGCCGATCCCACGCACCGCTGCAACGCCACGAGCCTACACACAACCCACTATCCCCACCGCCGCCGCGCCCTTCCCCTACTGCCGCCGGCCCCGCCCGCCAGCGCCGGAAGCCTCCGTGGGGCGCGGCGGGCGGTGAGTGGCAGTGACGCTGCCCCCTCACACAGCGCGGCGGGGAGGGGAGGGGGCCGGGGGCGGGCCGGTGCCGCCCCGTACAACTGCGGTCCCGGCGGGCGGCCCCGTTTGACATTCCCCGAGCCGTGCAGAGAGTTGTTCCCGGGAGTCCGCGCTGGTGACTTCGCCCTGCTGGGCTCGGTGAGCGTCTGGGGCGGGGACCCTGGGCAGGACGGCCCGAGCTGCTGGCTTCCCTCCTGCCCCCCGCCGTGCTTCGAGTGCGCGCCGGCGCTTCCTGGCCTTCTAGGGCGGCAGGCGCCGCCCGGGCACCCTCCGGCCTCGCGGGGTCCGAGGTCGAGCAAACTCCGTCTCTCCCATCCCGCCCCACCCCGTCCCGTCCCGCCGGCCGGCAGCTGCGGAGTCACGGCCGGCAGCGGGGTGGGCTGGCCGGCCATGCGGGCGAGCCGGGGCGACTGGGCCGCGGGTGGCCCCAGGCTTCCCTCGCTGGCTTCGGATCCGAGACTTAGAAGAGATCCTAAAAGCAACTCTGAGGGGTAGCTTCCGTTTACGCCTGTAGTAGGAAAAGTTGGTGGTGTTCTTTATAGGACAGGTGCAAAGCGACTGTCGGGACAGGAGTGCTTTTGCTAGCTGCCTGACGCCGAGCTGTACTGCTTTCCGCACGTGTACTGGAGTCGCTTTTGTGGCCGGGTTCCCCTTAATGGCAGCGGTTCGCCCCAGCAGAGCCGGTGTCTGGGTGCCGGCGCATCCCGGGCGGTGGAGCGGGGCGGTCCGGCCGCTCCTGCTCGTCCGTCTCAAAGCGTCAGGTTTAGAAGCAGGGGCACAGTAACTTTTGCGATTGTCTAATGGTTAAAAATACTCACGCTGGTTTACTGGGAAAGTATTTTAATCTCTGTGTTTTCCAAGGGCTCTTTGAAGGTTGGACTGAACTGTGTTAGTTTATTTATAACTTGATGTAGAAACATAATACAGAAGTACATTTAGTTGTATCAGTAAAGTACTTTCTGGTTTAGAGAAGCTTAATTTTGGCATGCGAGTTGTCTAAATTGCAAGGAATATATTTTACAGTGGTAATTCTCATGGTACTTTCAGTATCATGTTGTGATTTTAGTGTCCTTTTAAGTGGAAGAGGTTGTTACCTGAGTTAAGTAGTGTGTCCTTGATTTTAGCTATACTACTTCCATTTTTACAATGAGATCTTTAAGTCGGTATTCTGAACAGAGAAATTGTAAGGTCTTTCCTTCCCTTCCTTAGTGGGTTTTGTGTATAAATACTATTTTTAATAAAATTGAATATTATAATAAATAAAGTCAGCTTATTTTGGATCCTGTGTATTTCAACTGGGAATGTCTAGAAAGAGCATCTTTGGTGATGTCCCTTTCCTCATTTCCTGTGGCAGTTCCACATCTCCTTTGTCACCTTATCTTTTTGTCTTTCCCTGTTGCCTGATTAGGCTGTTAACCAGGCCCTTGATACAAAGTGAATTCTTCAATCATTACAGACATATCAATGTCATTTTGAAAAAAGTTAGGGCTAGCCTTTATTTCTTGCAAGTGTAAGTAGAACATTAGATTCAAAGGAGTTACCTAAATGCAATACTTATAGGATTGATTCATTAATTTTAGCATTTATCTGCACTTGAAAACCAATTCTTATTTAGTTAGGAAAAAAGGCAGTTGCTTCTCTGGCACAATGCTGTATATGGTCAATCTTAACAATAGTTGCTCATGATTGGAATTATTGAAGAATGTATAAATAAATCTTGAAGTTGCTGTCAACCATCTTACTCTTTTCTAGGCTTTTTGAATATATACAAGTATGTTCAGATTTTTAATTTTTACACTGGTTTTACATTTTAACCTTATCTGATAATTAATCATTAGTCCCTTCTTTTGCAGCTAAAATGAGTTCAGATCCTGATGCCCCTTCAAGTCCCTCTCACCCCCAGCTGCATCGCGGAAGGTCCCAGCTAAATGCTGCTTCTGTGGACCGTAGTGAGAACAATCAGAAACCTGGACCATCTTCAGGAAATACTGCAACTTTTTCTTCTTCAGTTCCTGGTTATTCCCATAGCAGGGAGAAAGCTGAAAGAAATGGTAAGTATGAAAGCAAATTTAATGCAAATTTGGTTTATGTTAAACATTATTATGGTGGTTATATGTACTCTAAACTCTATTTAAAGAGACACAGTAAAGTAGGAAAATAAACATCTCTGATTTCTTTTAACCTGTTGTGGACAATACTTTTCTTCTGCATTTTACATTGTGCATGTTTTTGAGTTTTCCCATCCAACAAGAGAACTTGGAAAATGGAAGAAAGAATAAATAAAATTTAATTTCGCATAATACTAAGGTTTCAGTTTCATTCCTTTAGTTTGCTAGATCTCATGCTAACTATAGCTTTAATATGAATTCTAGTGTGGATAAATAGATGCT